ACTCGAACAGGTTGATTGGGTTTTAACCCACTGCCCATCTTTGTAAGCAGATGATCTTTACTTAGTGATACCTCATTTGGTTTATAATTTACGTAGTTAATTGAGCAAGAGTCGGCAAAAAGATAATTTATACGTGTTTATTAAACCACAGGGTTATAAGTCGTTGTATTGGCTCAGCTCATCCAGTTAAGGTAACCCTAACAACATAGCCTAATATATATTTTGCTAATTTAGGTTCTGGTGTGTCGAGACCCATTTTTGAAGCCATAATCCACTTGGCAGCCAATTTCTCATGACATTTGTAAAATTTCCTATAATAGAATTTAGCTTTCGTACAATATACGTAAGATTAACGGTCGTGTACATTTTGTCTCGTATGGAAACTACATGATTTGAAATAGGCAAGAGAAAGAATGGATTAAAACGCCATAATACTAGGTGACTATGGTAGGAGACGAATCAGGAAAGGACGATAGCAGGACGAATTAGGAATGTTGATTAAGAGTGGATACTACCTCAGCTCGAATTCGATAGTTTTCAGCAGGGACACTGGCTTAATTTCAGAATAATTTTTTTTTACAAATAAAATTAAATCGATTTGAAAAACGTATATCGTACAGTTCGATATTAAAAAAATCATTGGTGTATGTAAAGTATATAATGAATCTTCAAAAAAGGAGGAGGTTCTCCACTCGACTGTACCTTCTTTTTTTTGTTACGCGATAACTCCGGTATTTGTAAAGCGATTTTCATGATTCTTTTTTGTTGGAAAGGGGGTACTTCCATAGTGGTCCCATTTCTTTTTGGAAGAAAATCATTCACCTTTAAGAGTGGCTGTTCACGCGTGAAGATTCATTTTTATAAATAGCGCCTAACTTTAATTTAGGAGCAATTATTTTAATGGTTGATTTTGCTATATCTCCAATTCAAGGCGTTTTTCTCTCAATATACTTTGAGTAGTGAGAACCGATTATTATTATCTCCAGTATCAAGTCCTGTATAGTGGCGAACTAGGAGATATTTCAATAAAACTTAGCAAATAGATCTAATTCCACGTACCTTTGAGGTCGGTTTTTTTAGTAATCTGTACTGAGATTATTTGAAGAATCATGTTTTCACACCATATCAATTTTACTGTATATTTTTTTCCAAAGTTATTGATTCCACGCTTTCACTGTTATTCGGAACCAAAGCCATTTGAGGCTGTATAGACTCTTAGTAAATATCATTTTCATCATCACCATCTACAGCCCGACATCATCCACTGGTTATAAGCTTCTCGTATTTATGACATCCACTAATCTTATGCTAGTTCCAACTATCTATGACTCGGAACTTTGATGATGTCATCCACCCACCTCGCTACAGTGGCCCTACTCTCGAAATCCGTAGTTACCTACAACCGTTTTCTCATTATGGATGACCTCGGGACTATCCTCAAAGTCCGCCAAAGTAAAGACACGTTCGAAAATGTCAAACTAGCCGTTTGAAACTATCGAATTGGGTTGTCATACGTTCTTCGTTCTAGACACGATCGAAACTCAACTCTGTAAGTCATTCATAGTGGGAAAACTGCCGTAACCAAAGATTTAGTGTCTTGAGAGTTCTTATTAATTGTCGATGCTTCTTTTATGTTACGTCTATATTGACTCTGCATAGTACGTTGCTACTTTGACTGCGCAGTCCGTGGCCGCGTAGAGATCTTCTCTCGTACAGACACAAGGACACAAGGGGCACAACAGTAAGTGCTGCATGGACTGTGTTGGGGCACCGCAGTCACATTGGGTTTGACTAGTATCTAGCTTCGAGAGTAAGGCCCAAGAACATCCTACGTTTCTATAACCATTTCTTGGTCACCATTCGTTTATCTACGTCCGCTTTACTCCATGTCTTCGCCTCGTCTAGTAATATGTCCTGTTCAGCTCGTAATAAATATGTAAAGTATTTTGAAAATTATCTCTCCCAACTCAATACGGAAACCAAACATAAAAAGTGTATAAAATGTCACATACTTTAACACAAACACACTCGCATGCACTACACATATTCAAAACACACTGAGGGTTGTATTCTAGAACTCTATTCAATGCTCAAGTCAGGATTGCACTGGGAACACAAGCACTGGGAATACGACCCTAATGGCAGGGACTTGAGTATGATTTCGAGTGCTTTAAACCATACTCAAATCCTGACTTGAGCATTGAGTAGAGTTCTAGAATACGACCCTGAATCTTTAGCTTTCTTTTTTTTTAAGGTCTTGTGCTAGCCTAGCTAGGTACAAACTATAGCATTAAGTATGAATGGTTACTGGAATAGTGCTTTCTAACCGCGTGAAACCACAGTCGATTCACACACGTTCGTTCAACAATTTAGTACAGTCGGTATTGTTTGTTTTTGTTTCCGTACGCCCCATGTTAAGCCATTCTAACTCTTGTATTCCATAACATTATTATTAACCTATGGTGTTATAGGAGTATCTATTTCTTGCAGTCATATAAAAATAACAACAGAGTCTTATCTAGATAATATTTACAATAAAACGTTGAATGGTTGTAGGAATACACGGTGGGAAGCCGGCAGACTTAGCTTATTATATAAATAATTTATTTTTATTTATTTCGTTATTGATAATTATTATTTATTTAATTGCTAAATTGGTGTGTTCGGTGCGTGCAATAGCACATTACTAATTTTTATTTATCGACGCGAGTGAGTACGTTAGAAAATAAACTTTAACGTCAACGACAGACAGTATTATGTCCTGCTAGTCATTTTATTAGCAATTCTTTGCAGCGCGGAATCTTAGTATACTGTCTTATATCAATGGTCGGTATAGGTGCGTAATTAGTAAATTTACTTCCTTGTTACCTTTAAAATTGATTAGGACAGGACATAGTACGTCATATCAAAACAATTCCATATAAAATTCCATCGCAGATAGAATCAGACATAATTAGTGCCTTTCATATGTTAATATTACCAAAACGCGGGTCGAAACGACCACCTACTGAAAATACGGAGTTAAATTACTTCGATCAACCTTTAGCGAGCTTCCACGGCATTGTCTTACTACAAGATGACAGCCAAAAAAGATTTTAAGGTTGAAATTCGGACTATCAAAGGTAAAACAACAGATTGAAGCCGACTGGTGCGGATGCATCTATGGGGCAATTGCGTCCTTGGAGAAGTGAACTTAAATGAATGTTATAATATTGGCAACTGTCGCCCTCTAGTTGACAATTGGTTAATAAAGAGCATGGTGGAAATGCTTTATTCCAAATTTATAAATATAGCTAATTTAACCCGTACATGCTTCCACTACGCTAAATCGTAAAATGGTGTAAATCAATATAGCTCGTTTCAAATTAGGACACAGATAACACACCCAAACAAGAATAAATTTAGAAAAGTTTATTTCCCAAGTTGGTCCTATCGGGAATCGATACGGGGTCTCCTCATCTAGTGCTCATAGTGCTAACCGTCGGGTCATTGACGCTCTCACGTCATGTTTTTGCTCTCTAAGACCTGTCACAATTATTAAAGATTTACAAGACACTTCTTAGTACGAATAGAGTGAGGCTAAATGTGACTTTTGAAAGGGCGTTACAAACTACAAATTTCTCGTAAAGCAAATAACGAGATAGTAAACAAATACAATTATACAATTGTTTGATAACTGATAAAAGTGGATAATGCAAACAAGGCATTATATGGTTATATGAGAAAAAGAGATGTTAGTAATAATGACACACATTTATAGAGCGAACGCGGAGGGGAACATGGGAAAAGGTCGACCACGGCGTCAATATATCAACCAGATTGAGGATGTCCTTGATAAAGGCTGGGTCAGTGTGTATAAAGAGACTGATTCGAATGAAGGAAACGAAGGAGGTATCTCAGTCAATCTCTGTCTAGCCCAGCGGGAGACAAGCGTCGGTATGATATTGGAAACATAATCATGAGTCATGACGGACGATACATTTTCGAAAAAGTTTGTCCAGTAAATACTGTATGACCTACTGCATTAAGTGAGGAAATTACGGGCACATAGGAGTTATCAACTTATATTTCAGAGTCTCGGACGCAGTGGCAGTAGCTCTTGAATCATTCCGGTTTGCGTGTTGCTTATACCACCAGGTACACGACTTGTTCGTCTCGTTACTTGGTGTCAGAAAAAAAGGTATTTGGATAGACAGAATGCCGAATATTCAACTTAAAACATCTTTCGTATGTCAAATTGCATTAGGACCATAATCCACGCAAGTTAACGTTTATGTCTACGTACATTACGTATTTTCTAAACTATACTAGCCCGGTGTACGCTTCAGACACAAACAGCTATACACACTCAATAACACTTACATATATGTATAATATATGAAGACAACTCACACAAAACAGTTGAATAATTTACTATAACCATCCCTGTTTTCCTAACTGCTCGCTGTGGTTCATTTATAGAGTTATCTAATTATCTAATAAACATTATCATGAGTTACTTTGACATATCAAATACGCGGCTCAAAATATTATTTTATTTAAGATAGTTTGCTACAATACCCTATAAAATGGGTAAAAGTGAGGTAAAAACGCTTAATGCGACAGTGTATCAAATAATTAAAATTGTCTACCAAATTAACTGCGACATGAATGAGTAACACTTAATAGTAGATCAAATTAAATGTCTACCTTTGAAACTAGTCTAGGTACAAATAAACGACAGGTTACCTAAGTTACTGACTAGGGTCACAAACCTCAACAATGATTTATTATCTAAAAGTTGTAAGTGGTAAAGTGCCGATAAGTGAGTAAAAGACTTCCAATCGGTGAAAATTTGTGAGAATTAAAAACAAGGAGAAGAAACTTGTGTACTAATGTTACCCTGTACGCTAGGATTATTAGTGAATTTACTGTAATTACATTAAAGTACGGAAGAAACGCCCGCGCGATGAGAGGCGCAAAACTTAAGCATAATTCATTAGAGAAAAAACATTCAGTCATTACGTTTTTAGGGTTAGCATTCGTTATTATTATTACCTCCGAACTAAAATTACCAAGCAAATCATCTACCTTCAAAGTATGAAGTAAACGAGCGTAGAAAAAGATAATTTCGGCACCCGTCGGCCTGCGTTCGGCGCTGGCGGTATCGGCTCAAAGTTTGGCACACCATTTTAAAAAATGTAATAAAAACAAGTTATCGAACTATCTAAGAATATCGACTTTATAAAAATGTACAATTGGCAGTCAATTGCGTTTCTCAAATATATCTAGTCAAATAATATCACCTTGCAATGTGACTCTATCAACTATACGGCATTATGATAAGTGTCTTTTTATATCTCTTGAACTAGGCTTTAGACCTAACAATATCTACAATCCCTTATATTTTCATTACAACTACAGGGAAATTATTACCATTCGTCAATTATTACTCGATATTGTCCTTATGATTTTTACGCGAGTACGTAGTTTATCAAATACTAAAAGTTTAATTCAAAATTACATCACCATTATTAATACAAGTCAATTCTACAATGTCCGGCTCCTCAAGGACGTTTGCTTCAACTATTATAAATTATGTTTGATGCTAATCGACGTCGATTGAATATTTTTATTAGATTACCTACATTACGAAATTGAGCTCGATTTTATTCGAAGTAAACATTATAGTAAGTAACTGCTTATATATGCCCGTTATCATCGTGACAACTAAATACTATCGCGAGAAATTAAATACAAACCCCTAAAGATAATTCTGTACAATGTTTGTGCGTCGTATCAAATAATTCCTGAAAAAGAAATCGTTCCGATGAAAACATACAAAAGAATACTTGCTTAAGATATAAACGTTTCGGCGTCTAATATAAAAATAGTTGTGGCGGCGTCAACAGAAAACGGCCATGTCTTGAGGTTGCTCCGCTGTTGCGACTATCGACGGACACAGTCTCGCGATCGAGTTTATATAAAAAGACGGTTTGGATGCGCTTGCGGCGTCACAACGTCCTGTAGCGCACCGGGCGCTTGGCACCACACTGAGCACTAATAGTTCTCGCCTGACAATTCCCTTCTGGGATCCCTAATACGATCATCCGTGCCACCACATGACGATCAACTCCCAGAACGTCTTCGGCGGCGAGTGGCCGAAGACGTAAGACGAATTTCAGAGACCCGGATCTCCTTCGGAGCCCATCTTGAGCAGCTCCAATTTTTTCTTGGCGATTTTCGAGTAGAGAATATCGATTGGTTTGCTATTGTCGTAGAAGGTCGGCGCTCGAAATATAATGAGCGCTGTACCTACGACACAAGCTATTGTGAATAGAAATAGGAAGATTCTATCAAGTACCATCGCTACGTACTTCCAATCATCCTCCACCTGCAACAAATTATATTGTTTGCATTACATAATCACGAAATAGCAATGAAGATATTCGACAGAACTTTACTTACACTCTCAAACTTATCCTTATTTTTGACATGCTGCGCTATAAACCTGGAGCCTTCTATAGTCTTTTCCATCTCTCTCACGTAAGGTTTCTCTAGAGATGGACTGCCGTCATCCAAGTCTAAACGGCATGGGGACCCGGGGGGTGGTGAGAATAGCTCGTCGTCACCACCTGGAGGGGGTGGAGGGGACGGAGGCATGCCTGGAAGCTCATACTCCTCACTGCCCCATTCTTTATACTTTCCGTCCAGCTCATCTGGACCGAAGACATCGGTTATTACCTGAAATGACGTTCACAGGTTAGTATACGAAACAATATTCTAATTATTGGATTGATAACGTAGATTAGGACACCAATTAGAAAAAGTTATTAGCATCTAACGCTTTAAACTTGACTGACAATAAAGGAACTAAAAGAAAGACTTTTCACTAGCGTACACGTTGCTAGAAGCAATTGTAGCCGTCAGATCAAGCTGAAACGTCGAGAGATTAAAACGTCAGCTCCCGTTCCGAGGGGCCAGTGTATCGGCGCGGTTTAAGCCGGCACACAATTAGGCCGGAGTAGAGGTTTCGGCTTCGGGTCTCGTATATATCGCGAACCGTCCGCAACCACCAGGGGAACATAAATAACGGGGGCCGCGCTCGCTCGTTAAGCCCGCCGGCGTTGAGTAATAAAGGAAAATCGAAATGGAATGAAATTGGGCTGGAAGCGATATTTTCGCGATACACACAGAGTACAATGGATTTAGAATACCGTTGAAAGGATCGTTTCCCTGAAGAGTTTTGCCGCTGACGACAATTAAAATGGTTATTGTTGAGAGCGGCTGCGACTTCAGTGTAATACCGTTTTGTTTGTATTGAATCAGTTCCGATGAAATGTTTTGAATGAAAGGAAACCTCGGGAAAAGACGGTGTGTTATTTTTTTTCGTTTCCAGAGGGATTCATCTGGAGGACTTCATTTAGCGAAGGCTTTTATTTTGCGAATTTAATTAAAACGGGGCTGGGCTTGTTTGCCGAGTCAAGGTAATGTAAACATCGATATCATGAGGATGATATTAATGGTCTTTTTGAAGTGGGTAGAGGTTCAGCTCGTGCTTTAATTAAGGTTCTTTAGAATGTTACAAATTACCTTTGACCCAAGTGAGTAGGTAATTTCAAACCGTTACTTAATGTACCTTTAATTATCTCAAATCCATCCATGAAAACAAGCTTTAATGTTTAGGACAATTCATTTCTAGAAATTACCTTAATTATCATTATTGTTACTGCAATTTTATGCCGGTCAAAAAAGCAATTTCGGTTTATTACTAGAATATTCTCTTTACAAATTGTCCGTTGATTGCCTACGTAGGTGAATAAAAATGCCTACGTCACTTACCTCAGTCGGCTTATCATTCTCATCATCATCGTCATCAGGTGGCTTATCCGGCCTCTGTATACACAATATTTTGGGTAAAAAATCTATAAAGACTTTCCGCACCCACGGGGCCATATGGTGGGTAACTGGCGACCTAAAATTTACATTTAGCACCACGATAGTGACAACTACTGATAATGTGACTAGCATCATAGTAAATAACAAATATTTGCCTAGTAGAGGGACTGTCAAAGATGTTGGTGGGATAATTTCCGCTAATAGCAAGAAGAACACGGTCAATGAGAGAAGGATAGAAATACATAGCGAGATTTTTTCTCCCGAGTCTGAAGGTAAATAGAAGACAAGCACTGATAGGAACGAGATCCCGACGCAAGGGATAATCAAGTTGACCGTGTAGAATAGGGTTTTTCTTCTAAGTGTTAAGTTGAATATGATGTCGGGGTAAGGCTCTTCACAGCAGGAGTAGAATTTTTCGTTCCGCGTAGCCGGTACCCGCATTATGTCCCACTCCACTGAGATGTAATATTCTGATAAATCAATCCCCATCCCTATGTGATCAGAGTCTGGTGTTTGTTTCAAATGCCTCAAATCCACCTGTAACAAGGAAATGATATATTTAGTTTAATGAGGTTAACCCGGCGCCAATGACGTTGGGTCGTATTGACCCGAGGCGATTTACAACGGGCATATTTTTGTTTTACGCCAATTGCACGATTTCAACGTTTGAGTAGCTGGAGATACAACCCTCCTCTACCCGACTCGCCGGTGTACTAAATGTGAAGCCATCTGCACAGCCAAGTAATACGTGCATTAAATCAAAACGGGTCAATATGACCCAGCGTCATCGCTGGCGTGGTATTTTTGTGACTGACATTATTGGTTTATTTACTGTTTATAATTAATTAATCTTATTCCTGCTGCTTATTGCGTGCTGACAGACATCAATTTAATCATTTGGCACCAATACGTGAACTTTCCAAAGCATTTGTTGAACAATGCCAAAAATGTATCCTGCGGGCGAAAACTGCACTATTGAATGAATGAAATGTTGGTGGTATTCAAAGGACGATGCAAATTTACGCAATACATACCAACCTCTGGCACACGCGAGAGATGTCAAGTATGTCCGTTCAAACAGGATAAAAAAACATCTCATACATGTAATGCATGCTAGATTTATATATACTACCTATATACCCGGATCATACGGGAAGGTACTGCAATAGTTGCAGCAGTTGCACGTCTCTGATTGAGGACGTAGAAGACTAATTTCTAATAATAAGTTTGAGTGACCTTTCTTTTAGTATATAAGACTATTAATTGCTATTATTATTCAGAATATTTTACTAAAAATAAAAGAAATATCAAAATTATGTTTTCAATGTTGATTTTGCACGTGTTATTGAGAAAGCTAATTAAATATTTATTGTTATTATTTTTATTTCAGTATATGTCTTGACGACCCTTACTTAATACGTATTTGTTAAAATTTAGACAACTACTTTAATTTTACAAAAAAATATCAATGAAATTCGGGTCACGATGACCCAACGTCACCGTCGGCGTAATTATTTTCACGTCATTGGCCGGGTTAACAGTAGTTTACTTCTTGTGATGTTAGTTTTAAGATTACAATTCACTTCATCCTGACAGGATTTTACTTTGTTAAGAAACGCTGAGAACTGAAAACTGCCATTTATCGTTATCTCCGGCAAGCATCAGAGGTGTGTAAGCGAGACCGATAAGACTTAAGCAATCCCGCAATCCCATATGAACCTTAACATGAAGGGTATAGGGCGCAGACATAAGACTTAGCTTTATTTATGTGAGAATCGGAACCGCATAGATTTATTGGCTTCCTTACTTCGATGGATGGTTGCTCCAAGCCTATAGCTGTAAACTCTATTCCAAAGTTTTTATCACTTCCCGTCTCTCATCGAACAGTATCTCATTGTCCATATTATTTATTGCGGCCCAATAAATATTTTCCTATTTGACATCGTATCGGAAAAAGCTTTTGAACAACAGAATTTGATTACTTTCTCTTTCACCAGTCGCTACAGTTTTATTTGGGCCAAGTTGGTTTCTCAGGAGCGACTTAATCTTTACTAATGGAGTCTAAACAAAAAATATAACGTTTCCCAGAATCGAAAGTACAGAAACAACCTTGAAAAATTTATGAAAATCTGTTTTATTAAGTCACATTTTTTTTCATTTATTATATTCCACGTAATTTATTGCCTCAAGCTTAATATCTTTATAAACCCTTAATTTGTTCAATAACAGGTGCTTACTTCTAAAATTTTACAGGGCTGTTCATTTTATTAGGTCTTAATGATGGGGAAACATTCCAAGTGTAAGTAATTTTTAATGAGATCGGATTTATTTTCATGGTTTTTTATTAACCTTTTTTATTTTTCATGATCCCATCTGATGGAATTAAGAGCGTGAACTTATCAAGCGCCTGGGCACAAATACGGGCAATGTTTTGATACCGCTGCGTTGCGTTCTTTTTTGATTTCTCAAGCACAGGATTTTGTCCCGTTAGTTGTAATATCAAGGTGTGTGCTGTGTAAAATGTTTTTACTTATAATTAGATACTTATAAAAGTATGAGGTAGGTATGGTATATTAAGCAGTTTGTTGATCACCTAGCACCAGCAGCAGTATTTCTTACTTTTCTTTTTTCACAATTCTGTATATTATGTATATTGCGTGCGCAAAATATAACTTAATGTTTCATTCGCAATTCGTTCGAATCTTTGTGTAGTTTATATTACAGATATTCAATATTATGACGACGTCTGTTAAGTTTAATGATACAAGATACAATTATCACGCCGTCTGACAACTTTACGAATATATTTGGTTCTCGGCATAATTATGGTAGGGGTAACACAATACGGTATAGTAAAAAACCAACTGTAGTAAAAAGTTATATTATTTTTTTGTGATTCTTTATTTTCTTAAAAATAATTATAATCCACTAGGCCTTCAGTCAATTACGTAGGCAATTTAAATTTAAGGGATTACATGTTACGTTATTTTGAAATCTCCACAGCGCTTAGTCAAAATAATACAGTACGAAATGTTTCTCAAACACACCTTATTATCAGTAAGTAATATGTCCTCGGGGTCTCATTATGTTAAGGGATATAATAATAAATATAACAACAAATTATCCATTTTCACTTGGTATAACGATACTTGACATAACTTCAAAGGATATAATCACTCGTGAGATATAATTAACAAGTGGTATAACAACAAAAGGTCTGGGTATATAAACTTTTCATTGTGCAGGTATAATAAACCTTTTGTATAACAAACTCAGATATAAATAAACATAAAAAATGCATGGATATGTATTACTAGTATATTATTAAGCAATATGTATAATTAGTAGCAGGAAACAGTTTGTCCAGAGAAGTTCTGCTATCTTATCTATCTCTGCCGCCAAACAGTAATGTCAGCATTACTGTGTTCCGGTTTTGAAGGGTAAGGGTGCTGGTGAAATTACAGGCAGATGGGACTTGTCAACTTATGTCTCAGGGTGACGGGCGTACGTACGCCTCAGGTCTCTGCGTTTCAAAGAGCTGAGTGGCACTGCAACTGTTATAGACAGGTGTGTAGCTTACCATCAGGCGCACGACTTGCTCGTCGCCTCGAGTTTGGGATCAACGCAGATGTAAGATTGTAGCTGGAAGATCCGAAAGAACCAGTAGCTGGAAGACATCATGTCTGTGCCCAATATTATCGAGAAATGAAGTCCGCAAGACTTCACTGGCTCTGATTTCTCGGCTCGCCAGCTCAAGGACGGCAAAATGGGACGTCCTAGGGGTCGACGACCAGTCGGTCGGCCCAAATACCGATGGAGGAGGAGATCGCACAAGATAGGGCGCGCTGGCGCCAACTCGTATCGGAGTAAATAAATATAATGTTAAATAATACAATACATAACATAACCTAGGGGAAGTACCATTTCAGGTTAATATTATTCATTTTTGTTGATATAGATTAAGATGGGACGTCGTAAATGTTAAAAAAGAAACTTACCGTGTAACCATCATAACTCCAAGAACCGAACTTCATGAAGCAGGTTTGTTCGTCGAAGGGGAAGTACTCAACGTCGATCTCGCAGAAGGACTTGTAAATGGCCGGCGGCTTCCATATTACTTTTCCATCGTGATGCAAAATGGCTTTCGTCATTATTGTTACTTCGTAGTTGCCGTCCGCGCTGGGGGCAAACATAATTTAGAATAAGAAAAAGAAAAAATATTGTGTTCACCGAGGCATACACGAGCTTTAAACTGCATACAAATTATAATTTGATTTAGAATGAACGTTTTGACGATCTTGAAAGCCGGAATATGGTAAGGTTCCGGAAATCAACTTTTCTCAATTAGAAATGAAACTATATCGCACATTGTAACGTATTAAAACGTTCCTTATGGACCTTGTTAGTGACCTTATTATAAATTTAAAACAATTTTTCGACGACTTGATAAAATTACTTCACCTTTAGAAAACTTAATTAATAATTACATTTAGATTACCTAATCGATTATTGGTTACGCCTCAATTTTATTTTTGGCGATTTGATAGATTCATTTGATTTTACTTTTAAAATAATTAATAACTATTAAATGTACGATAATGTATTTTGTATTAAGTATAATTAAATACAGTAAAGTAACGTCAATGTAAAAATTAATGTATTGAGCAATCTACAAGCAAGAACTCTGTCTTCTGCACTTGCTGTGCCCTTGTAGGGCGTCACATGTTAACTGCCCAACACTGTAACACCTAGAATTAGCTATGTAGGTATATGATATGCAATCAATGATTAGTATATAGATGAATACATCATCAACATGCCTATCTCCCTCAGGGTTAGGCTGAAATTATTGACCTCCATCTGCTACGCTTCTAAAAAAACCTTAATTTTTAGTAAAATATCCAATGAATATATTGAAAAATAATATACAGTCCCACTGCTGGGCATATGCCTTCTCTCACAATAAAATAATTTAGGCTGTAGTGCCTGTCACGATAAAATAATTTAGGCTGTAGTGCCCAAGCGGGCGAAATGCGGATTGGGAATTTGACACTTAAATTGCTTTTATTTATGTAATTGTACTAGTTGCCATATTAATATATAATACACCTCTTCTCCGTTTTACAAAACATCAAATGTTATTGTATTCAATATCTGATATTACTTTATCAAATTTACATTAAACTGTATCACACAAAACAGGAAGTAGGAGCGTAAGACAAAACCTCGTCTAAAGAAAACAACTTATTCATCGTCAAACAAAACATGACAAGAAAATAAGTGACAACGCTTCACAAAATGCCGACGCTGAAGGCTCTAAAAGATGCCGTAACCAACTTTGGCGCATTGTGAAAATTGTTTCATAAAATATAGGTCGTGTTTTCTTCCATTAGGCTAACGCGGCGCCATTAAAAATAAAGTTGATGCTGGAAATTCGCGCTGAGAGCTTTTAGGAGTCACAGGTGCATTAGAATAACCTCTAGTTGTTTAGATTTAAAACTGTAGCAGCAATTTTTAAATAGTTGATGGTGATGATGAATAACGCTTTCATTATTAACCTTCCTGTACCCGCGCAAGGTCTGTGAGATCGAACGTTTGGGGGTTTAATATCTTGTTTAGTAAAATATCACCGTAAAATTAATTTTAATATTAAAAGGAAATGTATAAAATTACATTAACTGCCTAGAAGTACTAAAGCATACGGTATGGGGATCGTGGAGTACACATTCTAAATAAGATACCTGTCTGCACAGGACAATGGAGCTGCCTCCATGTAGATATGTTAATGAATGTTAGGAAATGTATACACGTATTAAAAAAGTATTACTTGGGTATGTAAAATTGTAACAAAAGCGATGCATTTTCCCCTTCGCATAAATAGGGTATTTGAAAGGAGTCTTATTGATAAGTACAGATTATGTATTCTGTGCATTTTGTATAAATAAATAAATAATAATAAAAATATATCAAGCAAAGTATTATATTCTTTTTATTAGAGATATGGAGCCTTTTATTACAGCCATTGGTAAATCACAATATTCCTAAGAACCACTAAAACTTGAACAAAAATATACTTTTTATCTCTGCCTCCGGGGCCGAACGGTTGCCATCCCGTATTGCCACGCAGAGGTCCCAGGTTCGATTCCTGGGCCGGTAGAAGTATTTCTATGGCTGACATTTATTGCTCGAGTTTGGGTGTAATTTGTGGTTGTCTATGTGTGTCCATAGCACCCGCGACACAGGTTTCCCTAGTGCGGGGCTGTGTTGAGTGTGTGCGTTATTATAGTTTCAAAATAAAACTCTGAAATGTCACAGAATAATATATAAATCATCCTCATACAAAATCCATCTCATGCGTTCCTTATACATATTGAGTCTATAAAATAATACATAATGGAACTCAATGATAATTAAAAATAATACTACATATAGGAATTACTAAAAATATTAATTGCCTGAAACTGCGACACCTGCACCCGCGTCGGTCTGAGGGACCGATCGGTGTCGTCTACGGGAACATGTGTTATACGCGCGAATCATCGAGTATATAACCAAAAATAGAGACGAAATAAGGCCCATATATTCCTGGTAACACATTAGCGATACAGCTCTTATAAATATTAACTCTTGTTTGCATGAAATATAGACAGGGGAACTACTGATCTGTGTGTACGTCTCCATATATTCCAAAAAATATTCTGTATTTATTGTAATAAAGATAACAATGCCGTTCTGTTCTATTCGGTGGTGTGGGAAAAACAGCAAAACATCTAATTACAAAACAAACGGAATCACATTTCACCGGTAATTAAATATTAAATATGTAATTTTGCAATTTTCGCCCATTATAGCAAAGCTCAAGTTAACTGGTCGATTTGTAGTGAAACAGTTGACGACACCCGTCAATTGTTTCGAAATCGGAGCGCAGTAATCACAGCTATGATATGGCAGAATAGTTTTTAAAAATATTAATTGACGTTTCGTCTCTATTTCTGGTTACATACTCGATGACACGAATACTTCTGTTACACTGAAATGAAGTTAGCCACGAACCATGCAGCTAGCAGTCAGCCCAAAGCTCTAACGTTTTCCATTTCAGAAAAAAATCACGGCAGACCATAATCGTCGGTCTGAGAGACCAATGCGCAGATATACGTATGGTAACCCATTCAACTCACTCCTTATTAAACATGAAATAAGAATGGTAATTACGAAATGGATGTTAGGACGTAGTTACAACGAAATTGAAGAGCTCCTTACAATTAAAGGATAAGTTAGTATAATACGAGACCCTTCACATACAAGCATTAACTGAACAGACCCCATGGATGACCAGCGCACTATTTGGCCACAAAGACAGACTCACTAGACTGATGTCAACTCAACATATTTTCTTCATCCTGTTCTACTTAACTGTTAATGCAACTACAGTCACAAACACCAGTACCAAAAATATATCCAACACGTGTGTGGCGTCTAATCTCCACGGATGATCGGCGGACTATCTGGCCACAAAGACAGACTCACTAGACTGACGTCAACTCAACATACTTAATTAACTGTTAGCGCAACTACAGTGACAAAGACCAGCACCAAAAATATATCCAACACGTTTGTGACGTCGAGCTTCCATGGATGACCAGCGGACTGTCTGGCCATAAAGATAGACTCACTAGACTAATGTCAGCTCAACATTCTGTATCCTACTCTACTAAACTATTAGCGCAACTATATTACAAATACCAGTACCAAAAACATATTCAACAAAGTGGCGTCGAGCCTCCATGGATGACCAGCGGCCTGTCTGGCCACAAAGACAGTCTCACTAGACCGACGTCAACTCAACATACTTACTTCAGCCTATTACTACTCTACTTAACTTTAACTTCAACGAAAACGTTCAGAGAGCGAAACAGCCACCAACCTGCTTTGGATCAATACTTTTCCCTATTCATTACAAATCTAAATTCAGTTTTCAACAGTTTTTGCATCTTATTATAAGAACAATTCATACGTTAAGTAACAAAACATTTGAATCGATCCGAAATAATAAAAATAATAAATATATAAATATGTTCAGTACAACAGTAATACAATTATCAAAAGGTGGAAAATGAATACAAATTATTATGGGTTGTACAAAATCTGACAAAAAAAAAGCAAATGGACAAGCCATCAATCAGTTCCCCAAACAGAATAACCCTATACTTTGGAAGTTGGTGACAATCCACCATTAAAAAAAGCATACTTGTATAGGTACCCATTTTCTGAAAATAAAATTTTAATCTTATGCATCCGTTAAAACGTGTCTCGTCTGTTTATAATAAACACCTAACGGTAGCTTGATGCTATTTAGATTAATGTATGCACTTATCTCTACTTCCGCTAGACTTGCCTCCAAGCGCATTTTGCTTCATACAAATACTTCGCCATCCACCGAATTTTCAACCTTAAACGTCTAGGGTTACGCCACTAACTACCGTGAAACTGTTAAGTTTTGTTAATGCATAGAAATGCGGTAAGCCACCTTTGATAAAGGCAACGTAGTGTACTTAAAAGGTGTTTTAAATCGGTACGTTTAGACCGTACTATCAATTTTGGATAAATAAATGAGAGTGGAGACAGTATAATATAAAAGTAACGGGACTTACTCGCGTAGTATTTTAGTCGGAAGCGGTCCGACTAGTTTCGACCATAGTCGATGGTCTTCTTCAGGGGTTGAGTGCAACGTTCGCGACCGCGTCACGTCTAGCACTGCATGCTGCGGCTCTGTGTGCGTGCGTCGATGACGCAGTCCGCAGTGGGGAACTCGGGAGACTGATACGTTGCGTCAGCGCGTCCTGGAACTCTTCTTCGCTACTGCTGTCCGTAGGATTGTTGTCGGGAACAGTCCAGCACACAGAGCTCACCACGTCGTTACCACTACACATCTGCAGCTGCATACCGAGCGCCATGAAGACACGGCTTCCAGGTCGGTGGCAAGCTCCAGCCTCCGTCTCTATTAAAATTTGGTCGCCTACTTATTTCAATAGCCTCTCGGATTTTGTGGGGCACAAAATACTTCTCCCGCGCTAAAACCTTAGCTTTATCAAACCTAATGTAGTGACCAGCACCGGAGCTCAGAAAGTGGTCTGCCACCGCAGATCCATTGACTTCTTGGTTCTTCATGGGTCGGATATGCTCAGCTAGCCTAGTAGCCACGTTCCGTCTCGTTTCGCCGACGTAACACTTGCCGCAGTCACAGGGAACCATATAGACACCGGGGACCCCCAGAGGGTCTCTATCCTTTGGAGAGCGAAGCAATTGTCGTAGTAAGAGGACGGAATATTATCTTGATGCTGTACCTTCGGCGTAACAAGTTTTCAATCACATCCGTCACCCCCTGACATATGGTAAGTACGCTACCGCTCTCTCTACCGATGCTGGTCGAGGCCTCGTTGATGCATTTGCCACATGCCAACTCTGTTTCCACTTGTAACCGTTACCAACCAATACATCCTTCACATGATTTAGCTCAGCATCTATGTAATCCAGGTCGCAAAGTTTCAAAGCTCTATTAATGAGCGTCCGCCGAACTGAGGCTAAATGTGTGAGGTGGTGATGTGAATCCGCTCTCAGGTATCTATACGTGTGCGTTGGTTTCCGATACACTGCATGAGACAACCGACCCTTATGTTCACGTCTCATCAACACATCCAAGAAAGGAAGAACCCCGTTCTGCTCACATTCCACGGTGAATGTGATCTTCGGGTGAACGCTGTTTACGTGTGCCAATAGCGACTCTACTCCCTCTTTAGGCATATGTTAGTGGTAACGACGTAGTGAGCTCTGTGTGCTGGACTGTTCTCGACAACAATCCTACGGACAGCAGTAGCGAAGAAGAGTTCCAGGATGCGCTGACGCAATGTATCAGCCTCCCGAATTCCCCACTGCGGACTGCGTCATCGGCGCGCGCGCAGAGAACCGCAGCGCGCAGTGCTAGACGTGACGTGATCGCGAACGTTGCACTCAAGCCCTGAAGAAGACCATCGATTATCGGACCGCTTCCGACTAAAATACTACGGTAGTAAGTCCCGTTACATTTATATTATAATGTGTGATAACCATGTTAGTTTTCATAATAAAAGAGTGGAAACAGGTGTATTGATTTTTATCAACCAGCCAGGTAAAATAAATAGACCAATCTAGATAAAACACGAAAATACACTGACCAATGGTTTACTAAATCTGTTTATATAATAAACTGTATGTTAAGAATAAAACAATGATCAAAAATAATATAGAAAAATGACAAGTCACGATAGAAAGACAAAGTACTGTCACATTTAGTGAAATGATATATCTGAAGAATTCATTCCAAAGAACGCCTGAGAATTTACTAAGAAAGATAATTCCTATTCCGAAGAAGGGCGAGAAACTATGAATTCGTATAAGTAGAAAGTTGTAGATGTGGTTAAACTTTTCTTAGATAAACTTGTCGGGATTGTCTCGATAATGCAGAATAATGGGATATGTCTGCAAGGAAATAAAGAGATAAGAGGTCCACCTAATAAAGTTTATAGGTCTTTGGAAAAGTTTACTCTCATTGAAAGAAATGGGGGCGAAGGGAAAGTTCGAGTAAGGGCACAGGTTCCGTTCAAAGTGATTCCTCTGTAAACAGACCGTGAGTGAGATTAATGATTCTCTGAGGGAATTTATAAAAGCAGTTTCACAAGATCCGTTTAAGAGTAATGCTTCTTGTTTAGCCTGTTTAGCGAAATCTTTTAAAAATATATTCACAAATAAAATGCTAGTAAACAATACTTTGCGTGTGATGTTCAATCACACGCGAAGCATTGTTAAAGTCATTTATCACTCTTTTAAGCTCAGGCCACACAAAGGCGGAAAAGCTGACCAGGTGCGGACCTATGCGTGAGGCGTGAGGAGGCTTATTGGCGACGATGAGCTCGAATATAAACTTCAAAGTTTAGCCCATCGGCGAAAGGTCGCGGGTCTGTCGGTTTTTTACAGATTATACTTCGGAGAGTGTGCCCATGAGCTCCACCAGCTCATTCCATCCGCCCCCTTTTACCATCGGACATCTAGACGAACGGCGGGATATCACCCTCACCTGGTTGATATTCCTTTAAGTCGTACTAAGCGCTTTTCGTCATCTTTTATAATGCGCACAGCCCGTGACTGGAATTCCCTGCCTGCGTCTATTTTTCCGAGTACATACAACCCGAATATTTTCAAGGTGCGATTGAATAGGCATCTTCTGGGCGAGCTCGTACCAACGTAGACCTCATCTTTGCTCTAGGGCTAGGTAAGTGGTCAAGAGTTCGTCCATTTTTAATAATAAAAAAAAAAAAAAAAAAAGAGGCGTGCTACACAGCAACCCCAAGCGTAGTTCGTGTCAACACAGATTTTAAAGAATAAACCACATCGCTGTCGGATAATGACCAAGAAAATTTTGTGGTCAAAATTAGCGTTACGGAAGCAACACAAAAAAATTGGTCGAATTCATACGGGAAATTAATAAAAACACACCAAAGAGTAGTAAAAAAATACAATGTCAAAGCCCGCTAAAGTCCCGCTAAAGCCAGCTCCCGAACCGCGCTCGTTGCTACAGCTCTGTGTGGACGGTTGCATAGAACTCAACAGAATGCAACTCGCACGCCCCGGGATCCCCCCGGACCTGGTCCGCCAGTTTGTCATATCGTTAGGCCTTTTGTTTGAAAACAATATTTGTAAATTATGCAGATAGTTTGTGATAGAAATAATTAATTGTACTTACTTATTATAAAGCACAATGTCCGGCAGCCATATATGTTCAGAAGGCACGTGCAGAGTTTCGACGCCGCCGTAGTCGTCGGGGTTCCACTTCAGCTTGTAATCATTCCATTCCTGCAACAAACGAAATAGGAAACTGTTTATCTCAAATAGACGTCTCCTTGTCTAATGTTTTTATTTTCCTCGAAACATATAGTAAGTGGTTAACATGGCTTGTACCAATTCGTAAAACTAGTGACGTGCCCTCAACATCGAATGTTATTTGAGATGATTCCATTTGATTCACACACAGTAGTACAAGCACTGTAGTTGTGAAAAGTGATATAAAAGTAATCTTTCTGTGTTGACAGTGTTGTATTGAACATTGAAGATAACCTTCAATCACCACTTTTTATTAGACATATCAGACAGTATAAATCAAAAAGGTCATCATCATCGTCAACTCACTACGCGTTCAATTGCTGTGCACGGATCTCCTTCAAGAAGGGGATTACATTAATATTGATATGATTATTATTATTATTAATCAAGAAGATAGGTGATGTACATTTGACTTTGAAGTTTATTTAGAATTTCATATCTTTAACTTTTTCGTTCAAATTTTGTTACCAAAGTGAACCTCTTAGAAGCTTAAGTGAGAATTTTTCGCCAAGAACGAGTTGTTGGCTCAGGGACCGGCGGAAATTGCGGAGGCTTATTAGGTTCCGGGCCGAGGGCGACCGATTGAAAAAGCCCGGCCACTGGCATCGCCATTTTTCACTCACGTACACGCCTTATTGCAATTGTTCTTAATCTGGACGATCGTTGCTTGTTTCTAAAGTTTATAAAGTTTCCAACACACAATATCGAGGCAATATGGACAACAGCAAGAACTGACCAACCAGCAAGAATTTATTTCCTGAAATTCACTTAAAGAGTAACAACGACGAGTTGTTACTAAAGATCGTCTTCTTAAAAACCCGATAAATAGTTTGGCTAGATTTCGAATATTATTTTCTAGACGAATAAAACCGATCCAATAAAGAAAACTAACAAGAACTATGTGACTAGACTAGAAAGGTATTTTTAAGGGCGGTATAACTTTTTTCGAATAAATGATATCAAAATCTTATATTTCGTGTAAAATTTTAGTGTTTGACGATTGCCATTTTGAACGGCAAAGTTTTGTACCTTTTTCGAGTGCTTGCGACTTTGTCTCTTTTTAATACATCAATTATTTGTAGTTTGTCGGACTACACCATCAACTTGACATAGTTAACAAAAAATCAACGAGCAGAGTCAAATCGCATGATCTGAGGAAGCCAATTCACTGGTTCGAATATCGAAACTACTCACTCAGCGAACAGTACCTTTATAAGGTTCACTCGCGATATTGAATGTAGCGTCATTCTGTTGGATCCATATGTCGTTTGGAGCAATATCATCAATGTTTAAAAAAAACATTGACTATTGTTTGGAGTAATACTAGTTTGGAGATACTTTCGAAGTAAATTTGAACAATTTCAAATCGTTGTTCAAGCGAAAATCAGTTGATGATCTTTATACCTTAAGAAACGTTTTAATTTCTTCGGTGCGGATCACAACCGCGAACTAAGGTCTCAAATAAATAATCTACTAAAACCTCCCGTTACTCGCTCAGATTATTTCAAAAACTCCTCGACTATGGACCGAACTCCCTTCTGTCCGATATTCTAAGCTGCTATTTTTAGAACTGGATTGCATGAGTATCTATTGACGTAGTTTGTGTTTGGAAAATGTATATTGTATTTATTAGTAAGTATTTAAGAACATTTATATACGTTTTATTTTTATTTACTTTTTATTTACTTTTGTACTTAAATTTGTTAAGTACATTTATATGTATAAACATATAAAAGTTTTCATTAATGTATTTAAATTTTTACCATTGGCACACTACGTCTTCCCCTATGTTTAGTTTTCTTCTGCCTCAAAGGTTGCATGGAAGAGGTCGCTCTTAGCGATAACGCCGCCATTGCCCACAATAGCTCTAAGTTCTTTATGTACCATTTTTATATGTGCAAGAAAAGTGTATCATCATATCATTATGAAATGTCAAACCATATTGTCAAAATCATTATCACTTTGACAGACTACAGTTACTTGAAGATATAACATCTGCTCAAAACTACTACTAAGAAGTATTGATAAATATATAACGAAACGAACGAGCGACTATCTAATTAACTAAGTTGTTACAATGAACAGGTACTCGATACACACAGCTTGTTAACAGTTACATTCCAAAGTCGGAAATACATTCTAGAATTTCAAAGTGAAACAAATTAATAGACTCGTAACTCAAGAGTTAATATAACTGCCTACTTTCAAAGTTATGACATCATTCTAATCAAAGCTAAGACAATATCCTGTCCAACTAATTGGCAATATAATTTAGTAAATGTAGTCTTCAATGTTATGGAAACTAATCCAAACTTGGTTTTCCTTCATAACGATACGAGTAATTACGTTCGCACATTGAATGTACATTCATTATTATCGAACGAGAGGGTTGTGTAACTTTAAGATGCTGTTGAAATGGTAATGGTTGACTTAATGTAAATGATGATCATGGCCTAGATCCTTAAGAAACTGGAGGACCCGTTGCAATGGATTGCAAAACGATTTTTTTTCGGATCCAAATCGCGCATATTAGTTTTTCTCAAAAAATGTCAAAGAATAATTTAGTCTGTATGTAAAATAAATTTTCACTTGAAAACGTCACATTTAAGCTACTGCTCGTTCACTATCACGTCCACGAGAAGAACGAGCAAGTAACTCTAAGGTTGACTCTTTTCAAATAAACTTAAATACTAAGAAATACACTTTGAATAAAATTTGTGTGGGATCTAGAGTCATGTCGTCTTTCCATACATCTCTATCTAACACAAAGTCTTCAATTTTGTAATATGACTTTTCGATCAAAATATTTTTAATGTCGTTTTTAAACTTAGGAAATGATAATCTTAATTTATTCTCCGGAATCTTACTGTAAAAAGTATATAATTCCCCATAAAAGAGAGAGAAAGACACAGTTAAAACGAAACCGTGATACCATGAGTTTGGACTTGGCTGCAAGGTTAATATTATGGGTATCTTCTTTCTTATTTAAATTATGTGTATTTTAACGGGCATATAAAATATTTGAGTAAATGTGCCAATCTCCTTAAAGTTTTCTCTGAGAGAAATTCGAACTCTTAAACGGTACATATAATGAATCGCTCGTTTTTGCAATACAGATATGGTTTGAATGTCTGCGAAAAGTAACATTTGGAGCCTCTTACACCTGTCAATGGCTCGATGTAACGACTGATTGTGATGATAAAGTCTAATATTAATGCAATCTATCCTATTCTGACCAGTTAAGTTCTGTCAGCTGGGCCTTTGATTAGTTTAATCCTTGCTTGGTTTGTTTGAAAAAATAAGTACATATACATGTTTGATCCCGAAAAAGTAGTTGAATTTCCAATGTGTAACATGCGCGAAACCTAAGAACTCAAAAAACAGGGCGATAATTATAAAAAAACTATTCAATTAATAATTATTAAACTAAGAAAAAATTTCACTTGGAGCCGGTTGGATTATAACAAACTAGTGAAGAAATTTAAGTAATGATACATCCTGACATTAAATGAAACTTAATTCAATTAATATTAAATAGGTACGCTTGTGTAAGGTTCGCATGTCAGGTAAATATACCAAAGATGCCGTACTCAGAAAAATCACCATTATACTAATAGAAAGATGCAAGAAAGAAAGAGCGAAAGAAGGGAAGAAACATAGTTTATTTAGTAACCTTAGCATAGGTTACTTATTAGTTACTACGTAACAGATACATCACTTTCATAGAAATCGAAAATACCTACGCTATTGTAACCTACTAAAGATGACTTATGACACCAGGCGTTCACTACGAGGAAAAAAGAACCCAAGGATGCGCTCAGAGAGGTGAAAATAGCGTTGCCTGCCGTGTGCAGTCGTGCGGAGCCGAATGATCGTAAATGAAAGATTTGTATGAGCGCTTGCGCCGACGTCGGCGCACTCAGCGGTAGGCACTCATCGCGTAACCTTGAGCGAGTGACAAAATGATAACAAAAATAAAATAAACTAACAATAAAACATAAAACAAAACATTAATACTACACTACACACTAAGCTAAAAAAAAAAGTAAGTAAGTAGTACATTAGGCTACTCGAAGTAATTAAGTCGCGGGCACCAGCTAGTATAAAATAAAGATAAATATCTATCTTCCTCATTTGTTGAATGGTTGTCACTTAAATATATTTATCCAGGATCCAAAACAGGATACAAAAAGAATCACGTATAAAAAAAATCCCAGTCAACTTCGCAAAATATACTCCAGTTCAAATGACGTGTGTTCCAAAACTTTAAAGTTAAGTTATAAATTGCAATCGTGTTAAAACTTGGTGCAGTTCCGTAGTCATTTTTCATGTACATTCAACCTCGTTGGCAGACCTCGTACTGTATGGAATTCAATTATTATTTTGGCAAGCTTTGTGGCCTACGCTACAGAAATTACAGTTAGTAGAACTCATTTTAAATTCGTGTACGTGAATTTAATTCTGTCTTTTGATTCTAATGAGTTTCACGTTTGCTATGCCTAGTTTACAATGGAGGGAAATTTACAACGAATGTGTGTTTACTACCAAGTAAATGGTAATAGGGCCCTGATGGCGAATCACGAAGAGAGATGCGTAAAAAATTGTTTTCCTAGATCAAATATTTTAGATATTTACTATTAAATAACAGTCTTCCAAAAAATGTACGACGTATTCAAGGATATTGCCCAAAAATGAGCTAATTTGTTACATGGTACGATGTATTTTACCCGGTCATATAAAATCCAGATAATAGACTAAAGTTAAAGTTTAAAACGAATTACTTAAGAATAAAATTTGCATATAATTTTTATACGGGATATATTTCTTTTTAGTACTGCAAAGAGCCTGCTAAATTTTTCACATTTATCCTAAAAGTCAAGTTTTAGACCAGCGGCTTAACGACAAGTCGCGCCGCTCGCTGCCCCGTCAGTCGTCATCGGGTGCTTGTGAACGTCGGATCTATGTCAAGTTTT